CGAGTTATGTTGTAATATTTTACAAACATAAAACTAGATAGAAAATTGAAATATTATAAAAAAAAATCTGTACTTTACCGGTGAAACACGATTTCGCCCGTTTTACCTTTTTACCTACAAAAAACGCAACACAATCGCGCTCCGTGAAATATATGTCTCGCCCTTATAAATATTGGTCTTTGCCAAATACAATTTTTAAAAATACAGTTGAAGCAATAAACTCAAAGTTGAAGTTAAAAGTTCGAGTTAACCAAGTTTGACTGTATTAATAAATGACATTTTAAACATTGTTATGACATTATTTTTTTTCATAAACGTATTTTCCCAATGTCTATGCAAGTATAAAACTAATACACAGGAAAATTTAGCTACATGGAATATTTGAAAGCAATGGGACCACAATTTTGTGCCATAAAATTGTAATTTGTAATTCTATTGGGTTTTTTTTATACATATTTGGACATATTATAATTTAAAAAATATATATATATTATTAGTGTATACTAATGTGGACATGTTATATAATATCATATTATATTAGWSTMTWWWAAAAAAAAAAAAATGTAATTCGTATTTTTCGTAACTGTATTGAGTTATTTTGGACATATTATAAAAACAATTTATAAGAAACAATTTTTAACCAAACCAACAATTGAATTTTGTTGTCAGTCCTAAGCCTATACAATTAGGAAGAAAAATTGTTAAACYTGTCGAACTTAGATAACTCGAACTTTTAACATCAACTTTGAGTTTACTACTTCGACTGTATTTTTAAAAAGTGTATTGGGCAAAGACCTATATTTATAAGGGCAAGACGGGGTGCAATCATGTTGCGTTTTTTACAGGTAAAAAGGTAAAACGGGCACAATCGTGTTACAGCCGTACTTTACAAACACAAATAATGTTCATTCATTTAGGTTTGATAATAGGTGCTCTATTATTGACATCTTCTTAATATCTCAAGTGAAGAAAAAATGACAGCAGCGGAAGTTCTCCGATGACTATGTTCGATAAATTATACAGGTATCATAAAAATCAATACCCCCTTTCGAATTTCGTATCTCGTTTTATACAGCAGTTTTTATTTATTGAACCACGCTTTTAATACTAAATAGTACATTTGGTATACTAAATGTACCAGAAGGTACTCACACGATTCTTATCAGTATTGAGTTGTATCTAGATAATTTTATCTAGATAATTTATCTAGATGAAAATTAAGTACCTTTATCTTATCTAGATGAATAAATTATATAATATCTAATTGGTATCTAAGATTTAAGTTATGGAAACCTACATAAATATCTAGATCTTTTCTTGTGTACAGCTTTGACGTTCTTAAACTCTCCCAAAAAAGAATTCAGTGTTTTAGAAGATTATCSCATAGTTAAACAAGTGTTCTTAAAATACAACACAACTATTCCGTCTTCAGCTCCAGTGGAACGACTTTTCAGTGGAGCAATCCAAATATTAACACACAGGAGAAATCGTCTAGGAGACAAAACGTTTGAGATGCTACTATGTTTCWAGTCAAAGAACTAAACAAGCATGACTTATCATTATAATTTATTCATTTAACAAATAAAATATTATTAGTATTTATATTTTAATTTGCAGTTTGAATGTAATATAAAAAATATAAACTAGTTTTTTAAACCAGAAAATATATATGTTAATTACAATAATTGGTAATTAACCATGATTTTGGTTATTTGATATTTTGTTATACGTATTTAAATATTTTATATGTATATTTATTCATTAGGTAATATATTTTTGACACGAAACAAGCCTTCCTGGTTTGCCTTCCTGGTTTGCCTCCCTTAATCAATTACTCAACCAAGAATTTAATAACATGGCAAGCATTAATACAAATTAACTGTTGTAAGATATAAATCTAGATGAAAAAATTTTATCTACATATTTATCTAGATAAAARTTGAATATTCTATTTCATATTAATCTAGATATTGATTTAGCTAGTAATCTAATATTTATCTAGATGTTATTTTTGCTATCTGAACTCAACACTGATTCTTATGTAATCAAACGTAACCGTCGAGTTAAAATAAGTTARTAAAGTGTTTCGTCACTTGGTTGTTGTGGACCATGAARACTAGAACAATATGATCAAACTCCTCTACTAAAATTGACTTTTGATAGTTAACATAATTAAATAAACACAGGCTGTGCTTTGGTCGTAARGATTGCTACTTTAAAGCATAGATAGACTATAGGGATAAAGGGATAATTCATGTTTTTTTTTATAAAATGATGTGCATTATTTTGAAGCATGACCCATTATAAATTGTATATCTTATTGTAATGAGTTAAAAATATTAAGCATGGATGGGATCAGATGAATAGTGAATTAATTACTATGATATTATGATGAATTTATATTTTGAAATKKGTTAACGTTTTTGTATAAAAATATAGTTGAATATTATTCTTTAATGCTGTATACCTTTCATTCATTACTTAAATATTATCACTTGATGTGATATTTTATAGGGAGGTGAGTATGAGAGTTTTTCCTTTATTTTATAACACAAGTAAAGCAATATGGGAAGGATGCTTATATAAATGTGTACTTACCTTGTGTAGAACTTCCGATTAATAAATTTCTTGCACGWTTTGATTTAATAAGTTCTAAGCATAAGACGGGAAAAGTGTGTTGAAATAATAAAAAAGATGTGTTATGATTAATTCGTTTTCGTTAATATATATTTTTAAAAGAACATCAATAAAAATGTACAATATTTAAAAATTACGCAAGTTGAGCGACTGAACGCTGTTGTATGGTCATCAGGACTTTTATAAATAATGGAGTGAAATGTCGCCTTTGATCGTAATAGACCAGTTATGATAACTTACCATTATGTAAATAACTTCACCACCAAAAATGAAAAAATATAAAATTTTGAGAAATCATAGATAACTTTTTCAGGAAATCACAATTCACGGTTCACAAAATAATATGAAGTCAACTTAATAGTTCACATTGTTATAGAAGTAACGTTTTCGATTTTAAACATAATTATATAATATATTCAGTGAAACCCCTTTTATTAAATATAACGCGTGGTTTGTTGTTTTGACAATTTTCAACAAATAATGGTTTTTACCCCYCTTCACCCTCTCAGAAAATGGTTTATAGTTGGAAGTGGTAAAATTATAGTACCATCATTAAATATTGTCGTTACTATTAACCGTATTATTATAAGCACTTCCATAAGTGAGGATTTAAATTTCATAATATCAATGCCTGTGATTCTACCCAGGCATTTAATATAATAATCCTATATTATTATAATTATCATAATTTTATAATATATTATGGTTGTGTTTTTCAGCTCGCCGAGCACTATATAAATCAAAACAATTCAATTGACATTTATCAACCATACTTTACTGATCCGAGCTGTCAAAAGATGCAAACTTTGGCACCGTCATTCCGGACAGTGGCGGTGATGTCCGATCCCCGTGAACCGACCAGGCCGGTACAAAATATATCTTGGTCGCCCGACCAGGGCACGTTGGTTGCGGTAAGCTACGCTGATATGAGGTTCCAGATGGCTGATTCAGATACCAGTCCCGACTCGTTCATATTTGACTTAGGTGAGTGTGCGAAGAACTGCAGTTATCATCGTGACTCATATATTAAAACGTCTAGTGGTTTTAATCATATATGGCTTGAATATTTCGTTTCCCAATTTTTCAGAGGACTCCACCACCCCTTATTTCACGATTGAGTCACCACATCCGATTGTGACGCTCGAGTTCAACCATAGAGACGTACAGTGCCTAGCAGGTGGTTTGATGAGCGGCCAGGTCGCGTTCTGGGACCTGCGTAAAAGCTCAAACAACGTAGCCATCAGCAATATAAGGGACGGTCATCGAGATCCAGTACGAAGTCTCCGCTGGATCCATTCCAAAACTAGCACTGAGTTCTACACCGGTTCAAGTGACGGTCAGGTAGTTTGTAGTATTTGGTGTAGTTTAATTATATATAGATTGTTGTGTACCTGTTTCTCGCATATCAAGCTATAATCATACCTAAATATATAAACGTCATTCACTAACCTAATCATGTTCCGAAGAGAAAACCAATATTAAAGTTAAAAGATTTAATGAATTTACTATGTATATCTACTGTAGTAGATATACGATAGGGATATGTAACTAGCAACCGGCRTACCTTTTTTTATTTATTACTTCATACAATTTTAACATTTATTTGTACAAATTACGGTGTTCATARTTAATATGTTCATATAATAATCCTATGRTAGTAAAAATCAAAAATCAAGATACTTAGATAGGTACATCACTTTAATTAGAAATAAGTGAGTAGCAAATATATCATTTTTATCCACAAAAAATAAATTTACAGTGTGCTTTATAAAAATGTACCTATTGAAAAATATCCACTATTACTATGTTTTATTGATCTTCCATTTTTCCATTAAAAATTTTATTTATATGCTTCGGCCCAATACATTTTATAGTTCTAACATATGGCCCTTTGTAGCTTTGAGTTGCCTGTCCTCGGTATACGATATGCATGCAAGTTGGTGAAATCGATCGTCTGTTCAAACTTTTACGCACACAGTTCAAAACGGTCACGAAAAATATGGACAATTTAATTCGGCTCTGTCACAAAAAACCAAGCACGTAATTTGGTAGTCGACCGACATCGCTCTTTTTTTAGCACGCGATTCTAATGCAGCTATATAAGTATGAACATAATATATAACTTTTATATTTGTAACAACTAAAGCCGATAACTAAAAAATACCTGTGGAAACATAAAAATATATAGGTAATACATATATTTTACGTATATTTACGTCTGGGATTAATCGGTTGTACCTACTACATAGGTACTTCTGTGGTTGACTGACCGCTGAGCTGGATTAAAGCTATTAGCACAGATTATATAAAATATATATAATATATATAATAAAAAAATATTATAATATAATATTATTTTATAWWWTATAAAATATATATAATCTGTGCTATTAGAGTATAAGACCTATTAGGAACCTTTTCAACCTTTTTTAAATATAATTCAATTTGTATATTATAATGCTAATACCTAGCTTGTAAAATGATCATATCATGTTTAATATGGAAAATTCTAATATCGTAATAAAATTAATTACAGGTTTAAGAACTAATAGAATTAATAACAGATTTTTGTTCATCATTCACAATATTATGCGCTTTTGCAGGTCATGTGGTGGGACGCTCGAAAACTCACAGAACCCATGGAAGTGTTGATATTAGATCTATCGAAAAGTGAAAACGTCGATGAACCAGAATGGACTAAATGGGCTCGGTCACACGGGGTGTTTTGCATGGATTACGATCCTTCGATCCCAATACGATTTATGGTATGMATATCATATAAATATGACGCATTGAGTTACCGAAATATTATGTGAATAATGAAATGATTAATGATCARTGTATTCTAGGTATCTGTTATTTAATATAGTATTTATGTCATCTATAAAAYTCCAGAAATGTCACTTAAAAATCAAACTACCCCAAATACACCAAATGAGATAATAATATATTATTAAATCATTAGTTTATTATTTTACTTAGCAATAACGARTCGATATAATTGGACAAATAACTAATTGTAACAAGCCAGCTAAATATGTTTTTATTTTATTAAAACTGGTTTTCAGTCATATATTTAACTGCAAGATAGAAACTTTTAACTGAGAGCTAACTGCAAATGTTTGGTTTATTATTTATTGGTTAAACATAAGTACATAACTATTGAATAAAGGATTTACCAGTGTTGGTAATAATTTATCTATTATTATTACCGATGGACTTTTAATTGAAATATTAAAAATTATACCTATCACTATACCTATCATTATATGATTGTACTGTGGTTAAAATTATATAAATATTATAAGAACCTGCATACATCTAAAATTTCTAATTTAATTTTAAAAATAAATGATCATATTAATTTAAGATGCTGAACTTTCAGCCAAATTTGTTGTACTATAATGTATCAACTATCAGCAAAGACCTTACAGCTTACATAGTACGAGAAACAATTAATCAAGTGTATGATGAAATTGTATCATCATGATTTTAGGATAAGGTATAGAAATTTTGAAGTTGTAGTTTAACAAATTTTAKAATTACCAAGTTAAATGATTAAATATCCCTCTTGATAGGTTAGGCACCCCAACATACTGATTTATTATGTATTCACGTGTGTAATAGATAGGCACAGAGACTGGATTGGTGTTCAACGGYAATCGTAAAGGCAAAACGGTTTTTGAGAAAATATCGTCCACGTACAACTGTCACTACGGCCCAGTATATTCAGTACAACGAAACCCAGCATTTTTAAAAAACTTCATGACCGTTGGCGATTGGCAGGTGAGAATATGGTCAGAGGACGTGAAGGAATCGCCTATAATGTGGACAAAGTAAGTATGCTCGTACTATACAACGACTAACGAATAGATTATATAKATGTGTATATAATTATATATTTATAATACACAGGRTTGAGTAATAATAATTCGATACCTGTTCAATGTTATACAACCATGTAAACGTTTTGTAAATGTCGTGGGTGTCATAAATACTAGAAATATTTTAAGTAATTMAAGTTATTTAAAATTATATAATAATTATTATTATTTTTATGTATTATATTATATTGTCTAACAAGTAATGGGAAAATGCTACGAATGTAACTAGGAACTATTCATGCGATTTGTAGATTATAAACAGGCGTAYGACTCAATTAATCAGGAAAGTCTATAGAAAACCATAAAAAAGCTTAGAGTACCAGCAAAAATCACAAAAATAATTAGATCATCTGTTAAAAACCCTAAATGTATGATAAACGGCCAACTGCCAAAAGCATTCACGATTAACACAAGACTGAAACAGGGAGATGCACTTTCACCAATGMTTTTCAAAATTGCGTTGGAGAAGGTGGCATTAAACACCGGAATAGGAATCAATATACAAACTACAAGAATCTAAGACTATCAAACTAACAGCATCCGCTGATGATATGGTATTACTGTCCGAATCTGAGAGCGACCTTCAGGGTATGGCAGAAGCTCTCATGGATAAAAGTAAATAA